GAAACTGGTGAGACATAAGGTAACATGACTTCCTACTAGATCGATTGCAGGGCCAGGGAGAGAATCTCCCCTCAACTCCATGCTAAGCCTGCTCTTCCTGGCCACACCATATTAAACAAATATTGCTGTAGTTAGAATCAACAGGGGCTCTTGGTGGTATTTATAAAAATAATCAGCAGTAGTGGGAGTTGGTGGGTACCGCTGTGGGTGGGGAGGACACTCTCATTACCATCCAGTCTCTGTTTCTGCATTGGCAAGTGTCTGTTTTGGAAAGTTGATCCCAGAGTAGTCAAAATAAAAAACCCTCTGGGCATAACAAAGTGCCTCGGCTATCTGCAGTAGGCAGGGCTTCCTGCTGGAAAGTGCACCCCAGGAAGAGGCTGCTCCACCCAGCCGAGGTCAGGTGGCCCATGTCCCCTCCGCTCTGGGTGTGGAGCTGCAGCAGAGGCCAGCGAGCTCCTGGGGACTCTGGACATCAGGGAGCTGCTCTTCGACCGGAGTTTGTGCCCTCAGAGTCGGAAATCAGCTGTTATTGTTTAGGTCACCCAGTCTCTTTTTAGAGTTGAGTTTTTGTTCTAGGTTTCCTCCCATATGGTTGAGACTCATCTCCTGCACCCCCCTCGCTCGTAGGTTTGGGGTCCTTTGCTTAATTTGCACAGGATGGATCAACACAATTAGATGAGTAGGTGCTTCATCAGCTGACACCAAGGGGCCCCAGCATCTGAAGGGACGAGGGACATGCCTAAACCTTCTGTAGAGGATGGGAACCGCCCTCAGCTTAGAGTCCAGAGATGTGATCTAGTGCTATTTCAATTACTGATTTATTGTACAGTTCTTAACTTCTCCGGGATGATGGAAGAGAAATTGCTTTTTTATATATATATAAAGGGCTCTGTGATCACAAAGTGTTTTATTACATAAAGGAAGCCCATTCAATTGTTAAAGACATGATTTTTCATTTTGTCTAGCCTGAACCGCCCATAGGCACATTTTCCGCCAGGGAACTACTCTATGGAAAAGATGCCAAAGCCTCCCTTTGAATATTTCCCTTAACTGCAAACAGACTTTCACGGGACTCACCTTTGACCAGGGCTGGCATTTAGCCTGAGTACCAGTCCAGCCATGTCTGTTGTTAAAATATTGATATACTTCTTTGTTTACTGCTAACTAGTCCTGGCCACACCAGGCACCCCCCACCATGATTCATCAACTAAAGAAACAACTCCAGCCCAGTAGGGGAGCCTTCAGGACCCTGCTACAGCATAAAAGCTGACTCCTTTCTGATTTTTACATCACAACTGCCTTTAATTTATTACAGATATAAGATGTGTAACTCCAAAGCAATGGATCTAAGCCATCTGTTTTTAAAGAACAGAAGCATTAAACATACAAATAGAATAAATAATGTTATTAATTAGCCATCTTATTCTTGTGGCTTGGTTCCAAGTGACTTCTAGCTTATTCCAAAATAAAATCCACTCTCAAAAGATAAGATTTTGACATCTATAAGGGTTTATAAAAGAATATGTTGCCAGTCCCAGTCACAATCTTAAATGAGAGTGACCCCAAATTATTTCAAGCAACAAAGGCATCGAAGCACCCTGCATTAGGGCATGGAGAGCCCTGGAGGATTCACCGTCCAACCGCTCACTCACAGCGTTGCTGTGGGCAATCCCTTATTTTTTCTGTGCTTCAGTGTTCTGTCTATGAAATGTACATAATCACACACACACACACTCCTTCCCCAAGTAGGTTTAAAGGAGTCTAAACAAGATACCATTTGTATAGCATTTGGAGCTCCTTGGAAGAAAGGTGCAACATAAATGATGCATTATTATTGGACCTCAGCACACAGAGATGTTGTGTGAAGTTTAGTTTAGATGATTCAGAATTCCCAGAAGCCCTAGAGACTTTTCAGAAACTACCTCACACTTAGTTGTCTCAGCCAACTGGAAAAAGGAGCAGAAACAAAATCCCCTGTTCCCACACAGGAGGCGCTGAGCAGCTCTGTTTACTTGCCTGACACAAAGCCCTTGTTTATGTGTGACAGATGGTAGTACGTTTCTCTCTCTCTCTTTTTCTCTGCCTCCCTCCGTTCGTTTGTTCCTCTCTGTTTCTTTGTCCCCCTCCATTTTTCCTTTTCTCCAGTCCTTCTCGACCTCACACCGCTTTTCCTGAATTAGGCAGACAGAAAGCCAAGAGCTAGGAGAATGCTCTTGCCCGAGCAGCTGCTGTCCTGCCAGGCTGCCTGCACGCAGCTCCTCAACGCACAGCACTCCCATTTGAGATGTGTTTTTGAAGACAGAGTGACACACCTTTGAAACTGTAGGGGGCTCAAAGAAAACATTAAAAGACCCATAAATATTTATGTGGCAGGTTTCCATGGGTCACTTTCCCAGAGTAACCATAGCTAATGTGCGCACACACACACACACACACACACACACACGTTCCTTCCAGCTCTGGCCACCCCCAAAGACAACCATACACCTAACCTCTTACAGAATATTTACTGCAGTAAGCATTGTCCATGAGCCAGCCTAGGGGAGAGAAGGAATGAAGGACTGGCTATGCAAGAGACTCTTCTTTCTTCATATAAAAGGCTGCTTCTGCCCCTCTCAGACTCGGGCAAGTCACTTACTCTTTCCCAGCCCATTTCCACTTCTATAAAATGAAGGTATTAGAATGCATAAATGATCTGTAGCATCTTTTCCAGCTCTAAATAGCTATGATTCTATGAGCAATCACACCAAGTTTTTTAGGGGATTCCCATGATATGAATCTACCTGACCCCCAAATACCTAGTGGGGGCAGGCAAAGGTCTGTTGGAATCGATGTCAAACCAGTGATTGAGAGACAACCTGTGTAGTGGCACAGGAGAGAAGTTAGGGGTAGAGGAAAAAGAAAAAAGGTATTAAGTTCAGTAGAGAAATAACTCACCTGTAAATAGGGCAAAGAAGGAGATCAGAAAGGAAAGAACTGGCATAATATATACTAAGCAGGAGTAAGGGGCAAGATTTGGCACCTGCCTAGATATCTAGGAGAAAAGATAGCAAAAAAGCAAAGCTGTGCAAAATGAGGTGTGTGCCTGCTGGCCCTGCTTGGTCACCTGAAATTCATCCTCAAATCTCAAACATGCTTCAGACAGAGGCAGACTCCCAGACCCAGCATACTGGCATTCTTAGAAGAGGCCTTAATGTGATGCCTTGTTCTGCACATGGATAATAACTATTCCCCATGGCCACCCCCACCCCCAGACAAAAAAGAGTAAATACCCATGCTCAAAAAGATAAAGCCGCTATTTGAGAAGTAATAGCTACATCTGCAAATAATTAACTCTAGGATTTATTATCAATTAGGACTATAAATCTCTGCTTACTTTGGCTCCTGGAAAGCTGATTTCACTGGGGGGTTGCGGAGAAAGTCATTTGAGACAAGGAGGGAGAAATCCGAGCTTGAAAACACACACTTCAAATGCAAAAGGGAGCAAGATTTCTCCAGCACCAGAGCAGCAAAGCAGGCTTGACTTGTGGTTCTAAGCAAACAGCCCAGCAGACGTCCACAGGGTTAGCAAAGTCAAAGTGGCTGGTGTCATTCAGAAGTGGGTGTTGGGGCCAGGAAGGAGATTGAGTGGTTGAGTGGACCCCAGTGGCCAGGCCATGGCATGGCCTGAGTAGGAGGCAGAGTTGTATCAGGTGCATCAAGCACAATTCCTTATCTCAGGGGTTCTCTGACCACTGGAATCACCTGGGGAGCTTTGAAAACATACCTATGCTTGGGTCACAGTGTAGACCAATTAAAGTAGAATCTCCAGGGATGGGGCTTGAGTATCAGAGTGGTTCAAAAACTCCCCAAGTAGCTCTCAAGTGCAGCCAAGGTTGAGAACCACTGCTTATCTCATTTCATCCTCAAGCAATCCCATACTGTAGGGTTGCTACAATCTTGTGGTTTTACAGAAGAGAACACTGAGGCACAGAGAGTCTCAGGTAACAGGACAAGCGTTGCACAGCTAAGAATGGTGAAGGCAGGATTTGAACCCAGAGCCCACACTCTTACTTCTCATGCCTTATGGCCTCTAAGGCTGTGGTTCTCAGCTCTCCAGGCCCTGAACTTCATGGGCTTTTCAAGATTTAAAAAAAAAAGAGTCTCTCAAATTGTTTTTATATATTATTCCAAAAAAATCATAAAAATGAAGCATCATCCATTGTTAATGCTACATATTAACCAGAGAGGCAAGTTTCTTTCCTTTGGTTGGAATGACATCAACATGAAAGGTTGCACTGGACATTTCATGCTCATCAAGAGTGCTCATTCATTCATTCAATAAATGTGAAGTGCTGGTTTTCTGCAGAGACTCTAACATAGTACCACTCTGTGCGGATAACCACACACAGATGTTCTAAGGGCCATAACAGTGGCATGCGCTAGCCACTGCGAGCCTGCAGAAGACAGTAGGCAGCTTAGAGTGGCAGTGATATTCCTTTGGCCGATGAAAAATGGTGAAATAAATCAGAGGATAATACACGTATGTTGCTAAGTGGTGAAATAAGAGATGGAGTCCCTAAGTATAGGTAGGGGATAATAAAATGTTATGAGAAGGTTGGGAATATACTGTTGCTGATCCACAAATATTTAACCCAGGGTAGAAAATGTGAATTCCTGGCTGGCAGCTTTATGAGTTCAGTGAGCTGGATGTCACCATGGGAGGTGGGGGCCAAGGTGACCTGGAGAGCCCTTATTCTGTCTGGTGAGGCAGCTAAAAATTTCCATGAGGAATGTGGGTGCAGTGTTGTCAGATCTTTCGACTTTTAGGAAAAGCTGTAAATATGGGTTGCAAGATCTCCTGATTTTTAAATGGCATCTAATTCAGTGTTCTGTTTAGACCAAAGAAAACACATTTCCTCCAGCTCTGAGTTCACCGTTGAGGGTGATCTCCCTGCCAGTCCCATGGATTCCCCACGCAGCTGCTTATTCACCTGTCCCCTTCCCCTCCCCTGCAGGTATGCTCATTTATTTTGGGTACGGCATCTGGAACAGCACCCTGGAAATCAGTGCCCGAGAGGAGGCCCTGCACCAGAGCACGTACCAGCGCTACGACGTGGACGACCCCTTCTCGGTGGAGGAGGGTTTCTCCTACGCCACGGAGGGCGAGAGCCAGGAGAACTGGGGCGGGCCGGCCGAAGACAAAGGCTTCTATTACCAGCAGATGTCAGATGCGAAGGCAAACAGCCGGACAAGTAGCAAAGCGAAGAGCAAAAGCAAACACAAACAGAACTCGGAAGCCCTGATCGCCAACGATGAGTTAGATTACTCTCCAGAGTAGGGGTAAACACACGAGAGGTAGAAGTGGTGATGACTGATTTTCAGTAAGTTAACCTGTGGGCTGGAAGGTGAAAACCTTTCTGGCTCTCATTTCACAACTCCAGCCTTTCCCGAAGTCAATCCCCAGTCATAGCCTGTCATTCACTACTTTTGCTCTTCAGGATAGTGCTGTAGAAAGGCTTGACCTGGGTCCCTAACTGGTCCTCTTATTTCAAAACCAAACGAGAGGCTACTCGAAGTTCCATCTTAGGCGCAGCCATCAAAGCTGATGGTAGCAAACGTTTCCTAGGCCTTTGCTTTGCTGGTTGAATCTTTTTGCTTCTTACTGAGACCCCAAGACGCGAGGAGTGAACTCTTTGGAGCCCACTGAGGCTGCAGCTCCTGCGGGAGATGTGCCAGGGCGGGGGAGGGGCGTGCGGTGTGGGCACAAGGCATCGTTTCAGCCACCTGAGACACGAGGGCAAAGCTCTGTTCTCAGCGTGTCGGGCTGGGCGCTGCTCCCCCAGGTCGGGGTGGGCAGATGGGCACTGGCACTTCCTCAGCAAGCAATGTTTTGTCTTGAAATCTCACCCAAATGAAATTCATGGAGAAGACACATGCTTCTTTCTTTTTATTCCCCAATGTTCTCACCATTTCCAAACTATAATTTTAGGCTCCAGCAAAAGTCAGGGACCCTGAGATCATTACCTCAGAGATTTCAGATTCACTGTAAAGCAATCATGCAGACCCAATAATATAGTAAGAAATACCGTCAAAGCACTACTTAAATTCCCAGGAAAAAAAATTAAGTTACCGTCTCTTGCAGTGAAGGCCAGAAGGGCACTGGCAGAAATTAACTCTCTGTCATGCCTTCTCTTATACCAGACTTTAAGCTCCTGCTGACACGATGAAAAGAGGGCAAAGGTGGAGCATGATTTCATGGCACTAATATGCCTTGAAGAAGTAGGTTGTTTGTCTTATAATCAGATAAAAATCTTTACAAGGAGAAGTGACCCAGCCACTGAGATCATATTGCAAATTCTATTCCATATCTCTAAAATTATAAATTCTGTAGTTGTTTGAGATAGGCAGCCACTTGATTGGTGGGTGCTACTCTGAAAATAAAAATTGTCAAAGCACAGCTAGTTAGGTGATTGCATTCCATGAGATTACATTTCCCTTCTAAACCTTATTCCTCTGAGGTAGCTCACTTTTAGAAGTGAATTTTTTCTGTTACTTCCCACAGCAGTTTCACTGAATCCCAGAGAAATATCTACCTGGTAAGGTCTAAATTGGGGCCATAAGAGAGGTTCTTAAAAGAGTTTTCTCAGAAATGGGACATTTGAGAGAATTTGCAACAGGAATAAATGCACAGGCTACACATTCTACTCTTGGGTTACAAGGATTCCTGTGGCTGCGTGTACACACATATGAGAAGGCACCATTTGAATCAAGCTAAAACCTTTGTGAGAATTTCCTGAAAGGGTGTGCAAAACAGCAAATTCCTTGCTCTCTCTCTCTCTTGGATTTATTGTTAAGCCAAAAGTTTTCCAGAACACATCGACTCACATTTGAGCCTGTTCTTTCTTAAAGGTTGAGGTTTCTGCCGTCTTGGCACGATTTAGGGTTACGATGAGGAGGCGAAAGTCCGTGTTTTCATTCAACTAACACTGATCAAGGATATACCAAGTGCTAAGTAAAGGAATGAAAAGAGGTCTAACATCTGCCCCTGGGGACTCACAGTCCGGGGACGAGCAGCACTGGAGCTCGATAAGTGCAGAGAAAACCATCAAACTTGACAAGTCCTTGTAGCAGTACACAAGGCTTTAACATAACATATAAAGACCAATTGAAACTAGTTTTTTTAAAATACCCTTTAAATAAATTGCATATCACATCTATAGCCAATGAATATCATTAAATTCAAATAACAATAATTTTCTAAATCTTTCTTCTTCCTCTGTATTAATTATTTAGAACTCTGGTTTCCTGAGGTCACTTTGTCATTTTAATGTAATGCTTGACAATGCTGTGTTTTCTCCTCCCTAAACTTAATCATAATGACATAGTGCCTGGTCTGTGATATATATCCCTGAGGATTAATTGTAAACTAATTTATCAATAACCTTTGTGAAAACAAAGGTTTGAACTGTTTCTAGGACTCAACAAATCTGCCTACTTTAAATGCAGTCTGATACACATCTAGATATATGGGGTGGGGTTGTATTCATGAATATGTTCAAGAGAAATGAGTGCAAAATAACAAAATCTTACTGTGAGTAAAAGAGCCACCTTTTACTAGTGAGGTTTAGGTACTAAAATAACAATAGTCTGGTGGCAGATATATGCAATTGCTGTGACATTAGAAGAGAGAACACACATGCTTTGGTTAAAGCTGTTGGTATTGATTTTACACATATCCTACAAAGCACTCTCATTTTAAAAGCCATTTTTTCCTGAGTAGTATCTTTATATTTTTTAGCCTTTGCTCTCTTTGTTTGTCTCAAGTTGATAGGTCACCTCCCTAGCAACCTTGATTCAAAAAAAAAAAAACAACTTATCAATATGATACAAAATGTTTTGTGCCATAAGGTACATAGACATGTTTTTTCTCATATTTCCCAGCTTCTGTGACAGTCACAGGTTTCACAATGCAGTTTGCAAATTCTATCAGTCACTAGAATGACTATGCTAGTGTTTTCCTAACAGATTTCTTAATATATTTGTGGGATCACATTAAAAGTAAGATCACCTTACAAATAATTATCTTAGAAACTTAGCCCCTAGACCGGAGTCCAAGGAAGACCCACATTTTATTGAATTCTTCTCTACAGCAAGAGCTGTTTGAGTGAGATTTCACTGTATGTATTCGTGGTTTTGAGCCAGTCACACTTGATTTTTTTAAATTTTATTCTGTTTATTTATTGGTACTTTGCTTCAGTTCAAAAGGATTTGAGGAAGCTATTAAAATATATAAAACAAAAAATGAGGAACTCAGGACAAATAAAAGTAGATCTATAGAAAGGGTGAGACAAAGCTAGATGTGTATTTAGTCCACAAATACGGAACTTTGATATGTTTTATCAAATTGGCCAATGAAGGGCATCTTGAAAAATAATAGAATTGGAGGTAATGATAAGAAGAAAGTATTCTCCTGCATGATAAGAACAGATCTTTCCCCACGAGGGCAGAGGAACAAGACTTGTCGAGGAGGGTGTTTCTATGCAAAAATTTCAGGGATCCTCTGTTTCCCCAGTACATGTACACGTACGTGTGACGCTGAGGACTGTTTGTCCACAGAAGCTCTAGAGACCCTAAGAGAGAGAGGCATCCGCAGGTAACCTGGTGGCCTGGCGGTCAGAGAGCCAATGTTTGTAACTAATCATGTGCAGGCCCCACCATAAGCGGGAACCAGAATGCTGTGTTGGCCAGGTTACTTTGCATTTCTCTCTTGAGATGGCGACGGGTAGCAAAAAGCCCTTTTCATGTACGTAATTGTCCTCCTTTCATTTTCTCTAAGACTTTTAGAAGAGAGGCGGTTTTAATTTTTTTTCCTCCTCAGGAGCACCTTCCTTTCTAAAATGCTTTCCTCTTCTTGCTCTGCTTGAGTAACACGCGAGTCAGTCTGAAATACTTTGGCCACAATTACTTCTCTGAGGAAATAGGGTTTTTCTGGGGTTTTTTTAAGGACTTATAAAGCCCAAAAGGGATTAGTGGAAGTTTTGAAGCCCATCAAAGGTGAATATGTATTCTGCAGTATCAACTAAATTAGTGTTAGACATCATTAAACAGTATCCCACACGCATGGAATCACCAAATCCCCACAGGACTTCCACAAAGGCAGCTTTGGGCTGGAAGTCTTCTGACAGCCAGTAGTTCTGATTTCCTACTTTTCCAGAACATTTAGTGCAGGTCGGTACACAGAAGGAAAGAAAATGGCTTATATTAGAACTAGGAAACAGGAGCAGCCTGGATTTTTATGTGAGGGACTCCCTCTGTCTTTTTTTTTTTTTTTTCTATTAAGTTTTCCTGACATTGGCTAGAGGGAAGTGTGAGTCATGTGAATCTTGCCAGAAGCGCAGAATTTGAAGGACTGTGTTGATTCGGACATTGAGAAGAAGAAACTGGTCCGTGCACACACATCTATTGGTTGGTCTTGGCAGTTGCTGATACACTTGTCTCACTCGCACCCCTGAAGGTGAGAATTGACACTGGAAATCATAAACCCCCGCTTTCCAAAGCAAAGACTCTGTTAACGTTGTGATGGGCATAAATACCTCAACTGTCTGGGCTGAGGGAGGGGCTGCAGGTTTTTAGGAGAGCAGCTATAGTCCTCATTCCATGTAGTCACACCATCTGACCACAGGACTCCACATTCTAGCTTTTCTCACTGTGGAAAAGAAATGTTACTGTTTAATTCATATCCAAAGTTATAAATAGAGCTTGTAAATTGTACTTGTTTCTTTTTTCTGTTTGGTCCTTGAGAAGTACAACTTGCATTTTGCAGATGGTAATTTCTAGTGTTGTTCTCTGCTACTTTTTTTAATATGAAATTGCTGTATTTGTTAAAGTTTGTTCGTTTTGTGACTTTTAATTCCTGTCGGTGCACTGTACAATGTAGTGTATCATGAAGAAAGAAATAATATGCAGATGTGTTACAGAGTGTGTTTTATTTTCAAATGACTGTGGTGTTGACAATATATTGATTTATCAAGAAACTAAAGGAAAATTCTAAATTCACCAAAATGTGTATATTTTAATAAATGCATAAAGCTTTATTGTGTGCCTTTAAATTTAAAATTAGTTTATAAAGAAAATCAGAAACAAAAGTGTCTTACAATAAAAATATTCATAGTAATGTAAAGCTTTTACACAGGAGACTACCAAAAAAAAGAAAGAAAGAAAAGAAAAGAAAAAGGAGCTTTCCCATATTTTGTTAACCTTAAACAGTACCTGAAGTCTGTTACTTTTTTCCATTCCTAAATGGAGATAAATAAGTGAATCTTGCCTTAAGTGTTTCAATTGTCCTTTGTAGAAAAGCCAGATAAATGAGCTCATTTTGAAATGAATTGCATTATTGTGGAAAATTCATTTTCAGAATAAAAATATTTTAAAATTACAATTAATCGACTAATAAAATTGAAATTTGAAGAAAGTCAGTGCCATCCTACCTTTTTAAATTTACTTAACTTCCAAGAGAAGAATATAAAGTTCTATTTTCGTAGATCCTCAGGAGAACCTGAGGTGGTTCTACTCACCCCACCATGTTCTTCTAACAAGGGTGCAAGGCTGTCTCTGGGACCCGCTCACCACGCTGCATCCTTAATTAGCCCATTCTCGGTACCAGCTCCTGCTCAAGCTGCTGCCCTCTCCACCCTCTGCACCACCTTACAGTTTATATTGAACATTCCATTCATTGCCCCCATGCATTTTAAAGACAAATTAGAAGAACATTACCTGCTTACATTGCAACCCCAATTACCATAGCATTAATGGTGACTTAATTTATTTTACTTTTTAATGGTACTGATGGTGATACCTGGAGAAAACGTAGAGTGTATAGCAGGGTCACATATTTTCCACACCACATAAGATGCAAAGGACCTGCCACATCTTTATTTCCTACAGTTCATTGATCTCCCTTACAAAGGTCCATCTGCCTGGGTAGCAAGGGAAGAAAAACAAACCTTAAATATATTAATTTACAGAATCACAGTTGTGTTTTCTCGTTTAGTCTCTTTTAGACGATTGAGTCTCGTTGGGCTAAGTGAGCCTTACCAGATTTCCTCCCCTCCCCCTGGGTTCTCTCTAACATGGCTCTGGGAACAGAGCTTATATGATCTCATATAAGGAAAGGAAGTAGTGGGTGCAGGTGAGAACTAGGGTGCTCTGGGCCCTTAACAGATGCTTTTGCAGAATTGTTACCTGGACTCTTCCGATACCACTGAAGAGCACCCTCTCGGGCTCCATCCTCCTCCCTCATTATACACAGTCATTTCTGGGCTCTGCTCACTGAGGCTTAGAGCCAGTGACGCACTGCAGCCTGCTTCTGAAAATGATCGTTAACTTTCATGACTTTTGTGAGTCAGTTGCTAAACATAACATTATTAAAACTTAAGTCCTATAAATTTACTATTAAATATATTGGAAAAAGGGTAATAAATAACTCAAAACTAATTTATTTTACTATGTTTTACTATTATCCATGTTTTTGAAGTTATTTACAACTACTGTATCTGTTCGGGGGGAAACATAATATAATGATGAGCTATTCCACATCTCTCCCTAACTCCATGTTTACTGAATTCACATTGGTAGCTTGAAATCAGCCATGGTGGGAGTATTTGCACCAGAGAAATTGGCAAATTGAACAACATTAGAGCTTTTATTCCCCCCAGAGAGCTGGTTGTGGACATTTACCAGCACACCACTGCTTATACCTTTTCCAGTTAAGGATGCCATTAACCCCTCCAAAGTTCTCAGGCTTTCACACTCCTACCACATCCAGACACACAGAGTGGAAAGCCTGAACAGTATTTTTCTCTCTCTCTGTGCTACATCCATTTCTCTTCCTCTGTCCACCATCCAGCAGGACCACCAGGGGCTAGATTTCTACCCTTCTGTTTCACAAGGGCTCCCCTTATATATTATTCTACATATAACCCCTTGGGAATAAGAAGCCTCATACTAGTGGAAGGATTGCCCATTTTTTTCCATGGAAGAGACTACAAATAGTATCCAAAGAGTCCCAGGACAACTAGGAACTAGGGATTACCAGGATCACTAAAACCTGGATTAATATTTCAAAATACAACCTCATTACATGGGTCTTAAAATTAAATGGTCAATAACAAATGTTGGAGAGGATGTGAAGAAATTGGAACCCTTGTCCACTGTTTGGTGAGAATGTAAAATCGTACAGCTACTGTGGAAAACAGTATGGCAGTTCCTCAAAGAATTCAAAATTAAATTACTATATGACCCAGAAACTCCATTTCCATGTATATATTTAAAAGAATTGAAAGCAAGGTCTTGAAGAGATAATTGTACACCCACGTTCATGGCAGCATTTTTCACAATAGCTGAAACATAAGAGCAACACATGCCCATCAATGGATGAACAGATAAGAAATGTGGCATACACATGCAAAGGAATATTCAGCCTAAATAAGGAAAGACACTCTAACATATGCTATAGCATGAATAACCTTTAAAGACACTATGCTAAAAAAAAAAAAAAAAAAGACACTATGCTGAGTGAAATAAGCCAGTCACAAAAAGATAAATACTGCATGATTCCACTTATATGAAGTACCTCAAGTAGTCAAAATCATAGAGACAGAAAGTAGAATGGCGGTTGCTGGGGACTGGGGAAGGAGAATGGGGAGTTACTTATTAATGGGTGCAGAGTTTCAGTTTTGCAAAATGAAGAGTTCAAGAGAGGATGGTGGTGATGGTTGCAAAACAATGTGAATGTGCTTAATGCCGCTGAACTGTACACTAAAAAATGCACATTTTACCATAATAGAAAATTTAAAAGGTTATTCCGAATATCAAAGCTGCTTTGGAGGCATCTCCCCTCTCAGCCATAACTCAAAACATTTTAAAAATTAGATACTCAATTAGAAATGCAAGGGATCCCCATATCCCAAACAGTAAATTGACAGCTCCTCCACATTGTATTTCCAGCTATCAACAGTTCACTAACTGGCAAAGAGCGTCCTTTCCGTGCCCAGTCCCCTTCATCACCCACAAGCATGGCTTCCCCCACCTGAAGGTAGGGCCTTCCATTCTCACACTGGCCTCAACCAAATCCAGCTCAGCAAAATGTTCAGTTCTGCGGCTCAGAGAGAAAACCACACACCCCCATTTCCACAACCTAAAATTCCCATTTTTCAAGCTTTTATTGCATATATATGTTAGCCCAATGCTTATGGAATGAGCCCTTTGTAAGTCAATTAACTGGATGAGATAAGTGCTGTGGCAGGCTTCCCTTCAGAGAAGGGAAATACAAATGATTTGTGACTCTAATTAACTTCAAACAGCAGCAACAAGAATGCAATTTGGAACAGAATCCAAAGAGGAAATAGTCCATCCAAATTCAATTCTGGTGGCTGGAAGACCGTGATTGAATTTCCTTCCGAGCGGAGACACTCCTCACAGGATAGGGCAGGGAAGGAGGGGTTTGGCATCGGGGTTTAATCTAGAGAACACAACACAGCCCGTAACTAATGTCAGCAGTTCAAGTGAATACAATGTCCTTGGCTTCCTCACTGGTCCCGGGCAATCTTGTAGAAGGTGGAGACTGGATTGACCAACCTTGATGGAATTGGGGGGGAAGCAGACGTCCTGCCAAGGATCCTCATAGCAAGCTGTGAGCCTTGAGGACCCGCAGTGGAAAGCACCTCTGCCCTATCTGCCCTCCCATGCCCAGAATTCCTCCGTTGGACACAAAGTCTGGTGCTCCTCAACAAGAAGGAGATTTTTAAATGCTTTTACAGTTACTCCCTGAAGAAAGAAACACAGCGTCTTAACTCACCACATAGAGATAGGAATGACTGGCGTCATCAGTCCCATCTCAGAAAGTAGGTTTTCACAAACCGTGAGAAAAGATTGTGAGGTCCCTGGGTGCTGGAGAGGGGGTGAGGGACTCCAGGAGGGAAGTGGGCACAGAAGGGAGAACGAGGGTACCAAAGACACACTTGGCCTCCACTTCACAAATTTGCCCAAAGCTAGAGCTCAACAGAGTGAGATTTTATCTCTAAAAAAAAAGAAAATGTAAATAATCTTTATTCCTAAGACATAAGGGCCTTTTTAAATATTTCCATGTCCTAAGTGGCAAACCATATGGCATCTTGGCACCTTTTTCCAAGCAATAATAGAAGCTATCTTCTCAAGGCCACACTGTATACACAGGCCACTCTCTCTACATTGACACATATAAATTAGGATGCTTTATATTCCTTCAGCAGGAATCCACATCAAATAGAGTTCATTAGTTTGAATGCTTGGCTCATATATACACTGATCTTTTTTTTTTTTCTTGTTCAGGATGTAACCATAGTTTACCATTTCCTATATATAAATTCTCAATTAGAAAAAAGTACATTTGAGTTTGGAAAATATGGTCACCATAAGATATGCACAGAATCCCATAGCTATGGGTCAGCCTTGGTTTTAGATCATTGATCTCTGAAGAAGTCAGGATGACACTGCCTCATTCATAACGCAGTGCCACATATAAACCCCAAATACATATATTGTTAAGTCTTAAATACTAGTTAATATGTTCCAGACATCAAAGATACAAAAAAAATCACCACTTTAAAGGACAAATGCATGTATTTGTGTATTTCATTGTAAATATTCACCTTAATCCTTCCACCAAGTAAAATATGCATCAATATACCTTGGGTTGCCTTGGGGATGTTGCCTGTCACAGAGGATATGGGCAATAATTATTTGTTAAATTAGATTGAACAGAATTCATCCACACCTGCCAAAAAGTAATTATTTTCAAAATGTATGCATAGTTCATGATTTGTAAATGAAATCTATCCTTCGCTAAGGTCAGTCCTCTCCTCAAAATCTCCAGTGGCTCCCAACTGCCGACAGAACAAAGCCTTCCCAGCCTGCAAGTCTCGTGTCTAACCTCCCCCAGGTGCTCCATATTTCGACACCAATCAACTCCTCAGTGCTTCCTAAGACACTGTCTTCTCTTCTTGGGTCTTGAATGTCCTTCACCTCCTTATTGGTTCAGCAAACTCATTTATTTTTA